TTCAGGCTAACTATCAGTGACTGTAAAGAAATCCAATGAGGGAAGGAGATAATGAGACTGCTCTGCACCCTCCTTTGATGGTCAGCCTTGAGACTGGTGGTGATGTTAAGTCCAATGAGACCCAGGAAGCCCACCTGAAAAAAGACAGGAGAAGGCAAAGTACAACCCTGGAAGAGTCCAGACAGGAAGCAGGGGTTGGCAATTCAAGATAGATATGGTCTGAAAACAGCTTCTAGAGTACTGAAGAAGACCTGTAGTGAAGACAGAAACCAAAAGATTTGGGACTGATACGGGTCACTCTGGAAAGACAAAGAAGCCAAGAGGCCTGGATCAGGTTGATGCAGGAGCAAAGGCAGAAGGCAGGCTGAATATAGGGTTCCCTCAGAAGTCCCAGTGTAAAGGCAGAGACCAAAGGCAGACCAGTGCTGGATCTCAAATATCAGCACTCCCTGGTAAGTCCAAGAATCAAGAACAGAATTGATAAATAGTGGGCTGGCTAGATTAGGGTAAGGATAGAGGGAGTTTCCTCACCTGGCAGTTCTCTATACAAATGAAATTATAAGTATAGTCCTTATCTCTATATGTCAGACATACTCCTAACGATATATGTAGGGACAGCTAAAAATTGTCTTCTTACTAGCTTAGAATTGTCCTTGAAGAGTTGTCATAAAGCCCAAGGAAGAGGTGATGTAAAAATGAATACTCACATGAATCACTGTCTCACTTCATGTAATTGACTCTGATATTAGAGTCAAGATGTACTAACTCTACTTTAATTGGTGGCAAAAAATATATATATATATACACACATATATACGTATATATATGTGTGTGTGTATATATATATGTATATATATATATACACAGAGAGAGAGAGAGAGAGAGATAAAAAAACCCAAGTTTGAATCCCACAGTCCTTCACTCAAGACACAGCTAGTAAGTATTAAAGTTAGTTTTAAAACTAGATCTTCTGATTCCTGTACTAGGGGCCTTTCATCCATGTAATGATCTAGCTTGGTAATCATTTCTTCAATTTTTCAGTAAATCTGTGATGTTATCAGTGTTATTAGGCACTCCCCCCAGCAATTCAAATCACAAGTCATCCACATCTGCTAATCCTATACAACTCTTGCCCACACTCTCCCATAAATCCTCCAAAGGGGGTCCAAGTAAGATATTGGGGCTTTCCTCTAGCTCTCTTGACTGTGCGAATACCATAAGAGACAGGCTGTCAGTTATGCCACTCACATTGTCTAGGATCCCAGGAAGAATGATTATTAAAAAGAGGAGGCCTTTATTTCATTTGGGATCATTTCAATTTACTTGGAATCATTAAAAGCATTGTACAATTTCCCCGATATTTAAACATTTCTCCTCCAGTTCAATTCCAGGCTCAATTCACGAGCAATTTGCTATGTCTGTCTCATGTATATGTTAATAACTTAGTTTTACAGCTAGTCTGTGTCTAATTGTATAGCATAGTCTGAATAATAAATAGATGGGCAATCTTCATTTTTTTCTTGTGTAGTGATTATGGACTTCATTTAGGAGGATTTGTGACACTCTATGACTTAATACAATCAGCAATAGTTTCATTAGCAAACCAGAAAATCTGGAGAATCCCATCTCCTATAAAGAGTCCTTCTTTCATCTGGATTATGAATTTAATATCCTCCATAACAGAAGCAAATACCTTTGGTAACTATACATCTTTTCACTTTATGCCTTGCCTTATGCTATCAGTGGGTTGGGTAACTAAACAGTTATTTATGTTGTTACATATTTCAAGGAATCTTGAAATACAATCTGTATGAATCTGATATATGTATGACAGCTCCATTATAGGAGCAGAGCCCTTACAATACATTTAGCTATAGTCCCCAAACAATAAACACAAAGGGATCCATATACTACATTATTCAGAAAATCTTTTGACTGTAAAGATCAATGGTAATATTATTTGTGAAAGCCTGCATGTCCCTTTTCTTACACTTTCATCAACGATGATTTCAATTATGTGTATAGGTTATTCTTTTCTAAATTTTGAAGAGATGGGAAATCAGGCATATAAAAGTAATTACAGATATTCTTTCAATCTCCTTTTTTTAAGTAATGATAAAGTCTAACATTGTTTTCTTTCTTTCTTTCTTTTTTTTTAAATGAGGCAATTGGTGACTTGCCCATAGTCATACAGCTAGTAAGTATTATGTATCTGAGACTGGATTTGAACTCAGGTCCTCCTGGCTCCAGGGCTGGTGCTCTATCCACTGTACCACCTAGCTGCCCCCTTAACATTGTTTTCCATACTTAATCTACTGTCCCTTTTTTCAGTTGCCTTCATAATTGATCCTGCAATGTCCTAAAAATTGTGAAACCTCCAGCATGGATCTACTTTCTATGCACTTGTTCTAGTTCAGTTCTTCTCATCTTTGTTTTCTTTATTGACACTTCCTCATGCAGCATATTTAAGATTCTGACATTAGAATCGAGATGCACTGACTATTTAATTGGTGGTAAAAACATATTATAAAAATATTGATACATATGGCAGAAAAACAGAACATTATGGAGAAGTAAGGTAGTATGGTATGTAATGGAAAGAGAACTTAAGAGTCAGAAAAAACTCAAGTTTGAATCCCACTTCTTCAGTAGCTATGTGTTCAAGTATAAATCACTTCAATTCTGCACCTCAGTTTTCGCATCTATAAAATAGACATAATACCTATAGTACCTACCTCAAAGGGTTGTTACAAATTGAACAATAATATAAAAGTGCTAAATATATGCTTCCAAGCTATTTGAAAAATAACCCTATGCTTCATTATTGTTCCAAAGAAAAGCAATTGTGAAAACACCATAATTATAATAGCTAAGTATAAGGAGGAAGAGTGGTATTTTGGGGGTTTTGAGGCTATCCAAAGGCTACATTAGAAGATATGCCCATGTGAGGTAAAATATGATTGACCAGTGTTGTATTTATTAAATATTGGGGGAAAAAAAGCAGACTATGCATAACCATATACAAAATATCCTAATCTAATTAAAATATTACTGCTACTCTTAAAACTGAAGGTCATACAGAACAAAGAAAAAGATTTAGAATAAACAAAACTGAACACAATAATCCATCAAAAACCAAAGCTGTAGACTGAGCAGTTCCCATGGAATTTTTCCATGAAGTCACACAGGGTTCAGTGTGAATCGCCTATTTATCAATGTTGTTTTGCATATAAATTGAGGGTGAGAATCAATTCCCTGAAGAAAACACTAAGATTTTCTTTAATAGTGCAAATAAAGTATACTTTAGAGCATCTTTATTTCCAAAACAGTTTCACAAAAGTCATCTATTTCCTCCTTAGACTACTCACATGATGGAAGGGGGAAAAGGATTATTATCCCCGATTACAGAAATACAGAGATCAAAATGGACACAAAAAAGCTAAATGATTTGCCAAAAATTTGCCACCCTGCTTCTGTGGAAGCATAAGAACAAGAGTCCAGGTCTTTTAACTTTTACCTCAGTTCTCATTCAACCACATCTTGCCAAGCCAAAAGTAAAAAAGTATGCCCAAGTTACCTCTAATCTACTTATTTCCATGTCTTGATGATCCATCTAGTATAATACTAATCATCCACTAAAGTCCTACTTTGATGACTCATCATGGCATCCTCAAAGCATCCTGAGTCCTCAAAGGCTGTCAGCAGAGCATAATATCCAGCTCCACTATGCTGGAAAAGCTTTAAAACAGGCCTGATGTTAGAGGACTAACCCAGCTTAGTTCAGCAGGCCCATCACCATCAGTTTTACTTCAAAGCAATTAATTTTCAACCACAAGTCATCACACAGAAACTGTCTACTAAGGCATTAAAGAATTGTGATCTCTGTCAGCAAAGACTCACATCTATGAAATTACAAATTCTCAAAGTATTAAAGAAATACATCACTAGGCAAACGAATTACTTTCCATCCCTCAAGTACCACTCACAATTATAAAGAGGTTTAAGCTTCAGAAAATGCTTTCCTCACAACAACCCCATAAGTATTATCATCTGTATTCTGCAGATGAAGACATGAGGCAGATGAAGTTAAGTAACTTGCCCAAGGTCACACAGCTCAGGAATAATGGTTAAGATTTGAATTCAGGTCTTCTGACTCCAAGACCTGTTTGTACTGTGCCATGCTATCTCAGTGGAGATAGGGTACCATCTCTCCTTGGCCAGCATTTGGCATGTGCTCAAAAGACACAAATTATTCTTTTTTTTAATAACCTAAGCAAAACATAATTATCATGTTAAATTTGCAGCCAATGAAACTGTATCAAAACAAAAGTAAAAGTAATTGAGAATTACCTGTATTCAGGAATACTTATGTCACTGATTTCCTTTCATAAGTATAAGTAATTTACAGTTACCTATACTAAAACATTCTGACCTCCACATCTATATTTCATCATTGCTAGAAAACATTTTCCAAAAGTTTAGGAGGTAACCACAATATTGCATGGCATAAATAGAATAACAATGCGTTTCAGTAGTAAGTTAACCATATTCTGACAACAATGTTAAACCACAACTTCATTAACATATCCTAAAGATATTAAGCTTGTCTGTCTTCAAATCTGTCTGAGGTAGTTTAGTTAATGAAGTGATAAAAGAACTTCAATATAAATCAATACTAAATGTAAATCATTGAATGAATGAATAAGAATTAATTAAGCACACATACCAGAAGAAAAAATGACTGTCTATAATTCACAACAGGTATTCCAATTTCAAACAAACACTTAAAGGTGGCATTTAAAGCAGTTATTTTCACACAGGAATTGGAAAATCAAGAGAAACCTAAAACTGTATTAACAGTCTCATAACCAAAAATAGGTATCAAAACATTTATCAGTAAAACATCCTATAAGTAGAACATGACATTACAGAAGCAGTTAAGCTTAGATGCAGTTGAAAAGATAATTTTCTTTTTCTCCACCTCTGTTAGGCTACATTACCCAAAAATAGTGGAGTAGTTTCTTCTAAAGTAGTTTCGTTAGCATCTGCCCCAGCTTCTAAAAGGATTTTTGTTATCATCAAGAATCCTCTACTTGCTGAAAGATGTAATGCACAAGAACCCTCAAAAGTCTTCATTTTAATATATCTTTCAGATGGATCTGGAAAGAAAAAAGAAAAAATTTTATAACAAGAAAAACATCAAATATAGTTGCCCTGATTTTACAAAGCAAAGATTTCTTCAGTTGGGCAAAGGGACATTCAAAGAAATTTTTGGTTTAGTGAAAGACAGAACTCATCACAGGCAGAGTCAAGGAAGAGTTCTTAAGGGGTCACAAGTAAGAACTGCAGATCATTAAACAGATATTCAGTAATCGTAGAAACCACAGAACTAGCAATCTCTAGGCCTAAAACCTAGAACAGAATTCTTTTCTTTCTCTGATTTTAGAATTTGTTTAGTTCATTCTTCTTTTAAAAATAAATAAATAAAGTCACCATTATTGAGGGCCTACTATTTTGCTTATCCTCTTCATTGTTATTATCTCATTCCCTTTTACTTCTCTCAGAATCACTTATCTCCTAAGCTAAAAAAGAAAAAAAAAGTTTTTAGTCAGGCTTGCTTTTTCTCCTAATTACCAAATTCTGCCTTCTTGGGGAGGGGGGTGGAAATAGAAAGGTAGGAGAGTCAGGACATGATGGTCATGTCAAAGCATGGGGTAGAGAGGACAGAAGCAACATAAAAAGCACTACTTAAAAAGTCTTTATTCCACATTTATACACTAAAAAATACCCATGTAGATATATAATTTCATTGATTTGTATGTACTCTCCAATGATGTGTATTAGAAGCCACTCATGCCTTACCATCCTATGTGACCCTTGTCCATGTCTTCCAATTAGTCCACCAAAAAAGTTCTATCTGACAATGCTAGAAAATTTCAAATGTTCCTCACATTGTGAAGGCACCAGCATAGAACTCAGGCTGTCTATCTGTCATCCTTCATCCTTGCCACATGACCAGCCCATCTTCTTTTCCTAACATAAATTATCCTAATACTATAATTTACTCCTATTCTTCAAAGTTGCCACTTGGTTATACAGTGAAACCTGTTTACGCTTATCATGCATCTCTCCATTGCCCTCTGTGCAATATTCATTTTTAATTCTTCCAATAATGTTCTATCTCACAGCCATACAACTCACCAGTAGAATACTAGTATTAAAAAGATAGTCTTTATTTAGGAGAGAGGTCTGAGGTCTTTTATTCCTATGACATCTAGAGTCTTTAATAGAAATGAATGCTTTGGATTTTTAGTATCTAGTGATATAATCATATTTTTATTATGCACATGTATATATACATCTATACATGTATATGTATATGTATACACACACATATAATTAACATGGTTTAAAATACTGTCTTCCTTATGTTGAACCAACCATTCATTCCTGGTAGAAACTCAATCTGCTCATAACGCAAAATCTTTCTAATCTTTCTGACTGACTAATTAATATGTTGTTTTTGTCTACTTGCTAATGTGCTATTTTAAATTTCTGCATCAATATTCATTAATTATGCTAATCTGTAGTTTTCTTTCTCTGTTTTGTCCCTCCCTGGTTTAGTTATTAAAACTATATTTGTACCATAGAAAGAAAATGGAAGAGTACCTTCTTTTTTATTTTTGCAAATAATTTACGTGGTATTGGAATTAACTGGCCTTAATTGGTTGATATACAAGCTTGACATCTTTAAAGTAGCTTTGCAATTTCTGAAAGGCAAACCAAACTGTTCTTCTCCTATTCAACTCTAGGCCAATTTCATGTACATTTGTACTCTCCATCCCAAAGGAATATATTGATGGTCAAGTGCTAGAGGTTCTCCATCCAATCATATGTCAAAATTTAAGCAACAGACACACTTCATTGACTTGGTCTTATCTATGTGAATAGGCAGGTTTCAAATTCTTGAATGGTTATGAATGTCTTCTAGGAAGCTCTGCAATGTTCCAACCTTGATTCGGAAAGCAAAATATCATACTCAAAAGGAAGTATTTTGAGGATCTCAACCCACAGGAAATATTTCTTCAACTTGCATTCATTTTCTAAATCTCTGTTACAGTGGTGAGCACTTTTTATCAAGGATATATCTTCCTGTTTTATGCCTCACATGATGTTCATTATCATAAAGTTGTTAAACAGGGTTATCTCTTGTTATATCTTCCAAAGAATATGAAATGATTTTGATGAAATGAAGGATGAGAAACAAGCATTGGAAGATAGCTTTTAAAGAAGTGTTCTGCTCTAATGAATCAAGTCCTGAATAATTAACAAACAATAAGCACAGTGGGAGACTCTATTCTCCACATCTTTCAGTTAATTGAAAAATGGTAAAGATGTGATTCATTATAGTATATTGCTTGCAAAAGTTTCCTGCTATCTTCATCAGGGACATTATTACACAACTAGTATGTAGATAAATCTCATAAAGGTGGCAAAGGGCTGGGCTCAACTTTCATCTCCATCAGCACAAGGCAACTTTGTCCCCATTCTCCCCAATGAAGAATGAAATTGCCTCTGAAAACCTTCCTTCTGACAACAGGTCTGACATTTCCTGCTGTATCTGTCCCCAAGGAAAAAAGAGAAAGTTGGTGGGGACCAGAACTTCAATCTCCTGTTGTGTAGGTTTGACATTTATCTCTTGCTGTACTATGTCCTGCCTAATCACCTGCTTTTGAGGAAAAAGGAGAAATCAAATAGGGTTTTCCATCTAACCATGTGCCTTCAATACCATGCTGTACTTGTCCCCTGCCTGATCTCCATCGTCCTCTGGAAAGAAGAATAGTACCTTTCACTTAATGGTTAACATTCACAACTGTTCATATCTTGTACATCCCAGTGTTTCTGAACCTTTATAGGTCATCATTCAAACCCTATTCCCCACACCTACCACCCAATTCCTTATTCCTATCCTGCTCAATCCTCCCACATGTGCCCTCTGGAATGCCTATTCCAATAACCTGCTTTCATCTTAAATCTTTCTCTCTCCTATACCTTCCATCTTCTAGAAAACAATGAGATCTGATAACATGGCTTCTCTGGCCATCTCTTCCAGTCACAATTACACCTTCACTCATTCCCCTTGGCTCACTGTTTGAAGCAGAGGAGTTGGAGTACTCCTTGCTCCCCATTTCTACTTCCAGGTTTTCCTCCTACCTGTAACACTCAGTAACCTCAGTTCAAACTATCTGTATTTACCACTCAGTCAAAATCCTGGTAGCTGTTCTCTATAGGCTTCCAGGTCATTCCCTCTCCTTCCTCAACAAGTTTAGTACCTGGCTTATAATTTTTCTCTCGTTCTCAACTCCTGCCGTCATACCAACAGATTTCAACGTACATACTGATTCTCCCTCAAACAACGTAACTGTTCAGTTCCTAAACCTACTCATGACCTACTCCTCCATTCCATCTCAGTACACTTGACCTTACCATCACCTAAAGATGCACCATCTACATGTCCAAGAATTCCAAAATCCCTTTATCTGACCATAATCTATTGGCTTTCCACCTCTTCCTCTACCTTCTCTTACTAAACCCTACTCTGTCTACACCATGATCTCCAATACCTCAGCTCTTTGGTTCTCTCCCAAGTCATCCAATTCTGCACTAGTCACTCTCTTCTTTTCTTCACTTTGACCCTTTGTAAACCAGCTCAACTCTATACTATCTTCTTCTCTTGAGTCCTTGCCACCTTTATCATATCACCAATTATGCCCTGCCAAGCCTCACCTGTGGATCATTCCCACCATGTGCTGTATTTGCTTCTGCACATATGATAATGAACAAAAATGCAGAAAATCACGAAACCCGACTGCTTCTACCACAAATATATGTTACCACAATCTCAACTGGGCCCTCACTGCTGCTATGTAAACCTTTAACACTCTCCCTTATCAACTCACTATCCCATTCTCCATACTTTTTCATCTCTCCTCAAACTTTCCATGGCTCCTCCTTCCCCACCCCCTCAGCTGAGAACCTTATCTCATATTTTAGAAGAAAACTAGAGGCCATTCACTATGAATTCCCTCTTTTCCCTTTTTCCTCATTTCACATTACTCATATGCCTTCTGCTACTATCTCCTCCTTCACCCTTTGTCTCACAGAAAATGGCAGTCCTACTCCTTACCAAGGCAAATCCCTCTACCTGCATAAATGATCCTATACCATTCCATCTTTTCCAACAGACTGCTCCCTCTGTCATCCCTACTCACTCATCCTCAATCTCTCCCTGTCTACTAGCTACTTCCAAATATGCCCAAGTCTCCCTTATCCTTAAAAAATCCTCACTTGATCCTTCTGTCCTCATTATCTCTTCTGCCATTGTAGCTAAACTCCTTGAGGTCATCTACAATAGATGCCAATAATGGGGCAACGGGACCTGGACCCTTAAAAGTCCCAGAACTTTCCTACACTGATGTTTTGCCTGAGGCATCTGGCCCATCCCAGCCTGCATAGATATTTAATAATCCTTTTAACTGTCCTTTCCCTGTGGCTCTCAGACCCAGCCCAGACCACTTAAGTCCTTTCATTATCTGCACCTGGCTCACCCCAGGCTACTTGCCATTCTTAATCCCATCCAGATCTTCTGTCTTTTCTTCATATAAGTATCAGTCTTATTCCTTACCAAACCACAGATTTACTAGGAATCTGCCTGCCAAGCTGGTGTTACAATAAAACCTTGCTACTTTGACTGAAACAAGGCTTGGGTGGTTGAATTCTTTCAAGGTAGACTCACCTGGTACCCTTACATTTAGAGGTTTCCAGCACGCCAAATCACAACACCTCTACTTTCTCTTCTCTTATTCTCTTAACTCCTTACAATTCAGCTTCCAACTTCATCATTCCACAAAAACTGCTCTATACAAAGTTACCAGTGATCTCTTAATTACCAAATTATCAGAATCAAAAACTAAAAAGCAGAATTCACAAGAAATAAAATTATTAGGAAGCATTTTGCCCAATTATAAGGCACTAAGACTAACATGATGAAATGTATAAATATTTATAAAACTATAAAGTATCCAGATTAACAAAAGGTATAGAGAATTTAAATAACTCAATCTCAGAAAAGAAAAAAAATTGAATAAATCATAAATAA